CAGAAAAACAACAAATATGGAGCAGATATGTTTGCAAGACCATCTTTCACTTGTTACCTGCTGTTCCTAAATCCTCCTCCTAAGTGTTTTTATTTTCAGAATTCCACTTGATTATATTGTAGTTTGCAAATGAATGAATGTTAATATGGAAAGATGCACAATCTTTGTACTGGTCTAATTGTGCTGACACCATTTAGTCTTTGTAAACATGTCAGTGGCCATTTTTTATTAGATAGTGTGAATGATGATGTCATTTGTAGCAGCTCTAGGAATTGCATCATATTTTAATTGACCTGTGTAAATGTCTGAGAAATTTACTGGGCCAGGTTAACTAAACACTGGTTTTCATTGAATGAAGTTAAATAAAACGTGACTTGTAGGCTACATATAAAACGTGATTAGTTTTTATATTTTATTCTGCTTTTTAAATCCTGCACCTTACTCATTTTCTGTTGACATGTTTTGATGTTTTGCAATGAAAAAGCTTGGAATAGCATTTTTTTCATTTGCAAACAACTATAAATTACAGTTGCAAAATCTCATCTTGCAGTAGTTTTCCCACTTATTTTCTATCTTCGCCTGTGACTCAGTCCAGATGAGTAAAGAGATATTTTCCAAAATTACAGTTTAGTCCCCGGACCCCTAATCTGTACCCACTTTTGGACAATATTTATTTTCCGATGAAATGTTTTATGCTTAGATTGTTTTTCTAAATATTGCTACCATAGAGATTATTACAGTTATATAAAAATGTGTAAACATGGTCAAATTTGTTGAAATAGTTTCTGACCTTTGTTCTGCAGTTATTTTTAAACATTGAAAAGTCCACTGAAGAGACATCACTATTTTTTAAAATGTACTTCTAACACGTTTCCTTGAATGTATTTGAATGATGATGAATGGGGTTGTTGAGGCAGAAAAATATATAACCATCCAGTAGGTCCTTTCTGGCCAATACTTTTATAATTTTGTAAAGCTCTTGGCGATAAATCTTGGTTGAGATCTATTTTTGTCATAGTACTACACATTTCAGTTGCCACAGAAAATCACGCTTACTGAACATTTTCTCTTCATTAACTTCCTGCAACCCCACGTCTATTCGCAGCAGAGCCTTCTAACTCACTGTACATTTCCTTCTGCATCTCCAGCCGATGTTATGCACCCTACAAGGCCTCTGAAATGAAAGCCATGAAAGGCTGCTCTTATATAACAGCATCTTGGAGTGTGTCAGAGCTGAGAACGGAGCTGCGACTGGGGACCGCAACTGTTACGTTGCAGAGTTACGTACAAAGTTTGATTCAGGGAATGGGCTCAAAACCCCAGGAGAGCCTTTCTCTGTCAGGGTGACTGCAGTGAAAAGTTAAGATAGGAATCTGTCAGGGTTTCACAAACACTAGATTGAGCTGGAATGAGAGCAATCCCGTGAGACTTTGTATATTAAATTCTAAATCCAAGTTATCTGTGCCCTTAGCATTGCAAACGTATGTACAGATAAGATGGATAAAAGCTTGACAGTAATAATCTTTCATTTCCCAAAGTGTATTACTGTCCTGAAAGTGCAATAACAAGGCAAAACGTTTCAATAATGATTAAAGAGCATTGTGTAAGAAGCTGCAGCATGTTATGGCATTGAAGCATTTGCGCTATAGAGGATTGTGTGAGCCACCATGCATGGCATAGTTTCAAGAGCCTTACATGGCTTTGGCAAAATATTATTGCCTTGATATCTGTAAGCAGGCAGGAACCGGTGCTAGCAAAGGCCCCGGCTGCTGGCTCTGTCCCGTCCCTGTGACACCGTTGTGAGTGCCCCCAGGTTTGAAACCTGAATATTTTATCCAGATTTGACCTGCAGGACTGCATGTGCATTATGCAGACATGGCTGGCTAGAATTCCCTTCTCCACTCTTTCTCTCTCTCTCTCTTCACTTCTCTCTTCTCTCATCAAATCTCTGTTACTCATATCTCTCTCCCTCAGCCTCTCTCTGTCTAGGTGAACTGGGCATTCGAGTAAGAACAGGACCCTAGAACAGACCATCCCTGAATTGCATCTCTTCCTCTCCTCCCTTGTCCCATTACTTGTTTTTACCCTTCCCTCCCCGTGCTGCTCCCATCTACTATACCTTCCTCTCCGTTTCCGGTCTCTCTCTTATCATCTATACCAAAAAAAAATCTCCTGGCAGGCCCACTGCCCCAAGCCTTTATTAATAGGCTCCCTTCCTGCCAGACCTTCCAACACTTAACTTGTTTACATGAGAACAACAGCCCCCATCCGTGAATCGATGGACGCAGCGTCTGGGACTGCAGTCCCACACGGACTGGAGAACCATAAACAAAAAAGCCTCGCAGATTCAAGACTCAATCATCATGATACATGCCGAAATTACTTTTGCTAGCATTTCTCATGGACAGCAGCCAAGGTGAGAGTGGGAAGAGAGAGGAAGGGAAGAGGCAATAGATAAAGAGAAAAGGGAAAGACCTTGGCCCTACTGAGAAGCACATCAGCAATGACCGCATCCCCTGCATGCATCTCCCCGATCACGCCCCCTCCCACCCCACCCCCCCCTAGCACCCCTCCTCTGTGGGTGTCTTAGCCATAGAGTGGATGGATTTTACCTTCTGTCCAGGATTTTCAGGCCTACTTTTTTCAATAAGGTGAAGTCCTCTGGCGGTGCAGCTCGAGTCGTCTCAGTGAAGGAGAGAGCGAGGGCCCAAAGAGCTGAAGAGCCAGACAGCAAAGAAGGACGGAGCGGCACCCTTAGAGGATGGATATTGCGTGTGCAGCCATAATGAGAACAAATAGAAAGAGAGACCTGCAGCTTGGTTATGGAGCTACACGCTTCATAATTCTGGCTCGGTCCTAAAGCAAAGACTGCTGGCTCCCAAGCTCTATACTGAACTGGCCAAGCCACCAGCAGGCCCAAATCAAGAGCGGGCAAGCAAAGAGCCCATCAGTCGCGTTGCCGTCACAGTCCCCTTGCCTGCACCCTTTCCCATTCCCTCCCCCTCTCCCCTCCCTCCCGCCCTACTCCCTTCCTCTGTCATCCTCCCTCTGCCTCTCTCACTCTGCTCACCCTCCCACATCCACTCCTGTGCTCTCTATCTTCTCTTACTCTCTTCCATGCACACATAGCCGCAGGCAAGCCCTAAGTATAGACAGCAGCTCATTCTTTTTCATAACCCATCTCATCACACCTATGCTACCTACAGAAAAAAACACTCACAAACACATGTAGACACACACATATTCACACATGTATCCACAGACACGTTGGCACACACGCTTGCAGGCACTCTGTCAAAGGAGCAGGCTCACTGACACACACACACACACCTCTCTGGAACATCTGCTGCCCACACTGAAAAAGCTACATGCATATTCAAAGTTGCAAACGCAGATACTGTATACACAGACTAGCTTTATTGTTAGATGTGCTGCAGCACCTCACTGTTTTTAATTCACAGGTGTTTCCTGTATCAGCACGTCTGAAACCAGCATTTTCTCTTTAAAGGACCTAATGACACAATTTCTGAGCAAAGGCCTGAGGCACTCAATGACACGGGACTTTAATTTCACTCTAATTATACAGTCGGTGCCTC